GGTTGGGGTAGTGTTGTGATGTTATGCTTCGTCAGTATCTGTCTCACAATTAACGACGTGTGACTTGGCGCGTTGTCGTGATGGAGCATCCAGGAATTCGCGATCTCCCTTCGTACGCGGCGTACTTTAAGTCTCAAACGTTCGAGCACTTCTGCGTAAAATTGGCCATTCACTGTTTGTCCAGCAGGCACAAACTCCTTGTGGATAACACCTTTTGCGTCAAAGAAGACAATAAGCATCGATTTTATCCTTGACTTGCTCATGCGAGCCTTTTTCGGTCGAGGAGAGCCGCTTGTGTGCCACTCAGCACTTTGCATTTTTGACTCCGGATCGTATTCAAAAATCCATGTTTCGTCACCGGTAATCACTCTGTCTAAAAGATTTGAATCCCTCTCCAAACATTCTAAAAGTTCACGAGAAATCGTCACACGGCGTTCTTTCTGTTCCTCTGTTAAAACCTTCGGAATCAATTTAGCGCACACTTTTCGCATTTGCAAATCCTCGGTTACGATAGAATGAATAGTGGATTTCGTTAAATTTAATTCCTGTGCAATTAAACGAATGCTTAAACGGCGATCGGAATTCAAAATTTCCCGCACTTTGTCGACATTCGTATCGGATCGGGACGACGACGGTCGTCCAACGCGTTGCTCGTCTTCAACGTCTTCACGGCCATCTTTGAAATTTTTGTGCCACTCAAAAACACTCGTTCTGGACATGGAATCATCCTTGTAGGCCTGACGAATCATATTAAATGTCTCCGTAGCAGATTTATTTAGCTTAACGCAAAATTTAATCGCACAACGCTGCTCGATGTTTCGTTGCATTTTGATTCTCGACGCGAACGTTAAATACGCTTCCACTTCAAGAACGATATAAACGAAATAAATGGTGGAAAACAAATGAACCTAGATTTTTATTATACATAACAACTTTCCGCATCGATCTAGCTAATAGAGATTGCTCCCTAACCTACCAAACTAGCAGAAAAAAATCAGTCCGGATACTTATTGGACAAACCCTGTATACATATAATAATTTCAAAACAGAAAATAAAATATAATATTTTTAAGTTATTAATTTTAAACGCTTACTACCCGAGAGTTTCGGTTTTATTTTACGCGCAGTACCACACAACTTTACTGGCTCACGATTTTACCAAGAAGGGGGAATGTGCATCCGGTGCGCATTTTTATTAAACTGCGATTCATAGGTTGCGCACCCTATTATTAATATTGGTTAACTTAAATACTAACACGGCAAATTTGAGATTACATACTAACATAAGTTTATTGCAAATATGACTAATTAGTATTTTGCTAGGTACCTCCTTTGTTTTGTCGCATTTGTAAATCTTTTTAGTGTTATTTCTGTCATGTTTGTTAACTGATCTTCTTCAATAATGTTTGGTAATCATCTAATTTCTACACATTAAATTTGTTTTTACCACAAAACGTAGTATTTCTCCGAAATTTAATAGGTTTAGAGGTACATTTTTTGATAAATTTGTTACGAGCCGCAGGGGTCACAGCCGCGTGGCTGGGGGCTGTATTTTGGTAAAGGTAGTGTTACTAGGCTAACTCAGGTTTGTTAGTCAACCTGAGCGCCAAAGGAAAGTAGACGCGAGGACGAACCGACGTATGGCCAACGCCGGGAGCTCCAGGAAATAATATGTGAACGAACCGACGTATGGCTAACGCCGGATGTCACAGGAAATGTTAGTATTTTGTGCTCGTAACAAAGATATGCCAGTATATCTCGAGCGGCTAAGATATACCGACTGATGGGTTTGTTAGGACTTTGGTTATAATTGACAAAGGCAAAGATTAAGTTTAAAATAAAAGTTTGAAAATATATCCTTTCCCAAAACCGGTGTTACAAATGTTTGTGTGTATTTGTCGGTTAAGGTGATTTTACAAAAATGATCTTGACTTGATTTTACGTGAGTTTAAAATGTTTCGACTCCGACAAAGCGAGAATCTAATCCTGCCTAGTTTTAACGAAAAACAAGCGAAACGGGGATCCGAGTGTACTTTAGAAAAATGCCTAACAGTAAATTATACGTACTGTATGGTTATTAATGTTGCTCGAAGGGGACTCTAACCCGATCTTGCTTGTAAGTGACTTAGTTTTAATTCGACGTGAATGTCTCTAACTAAACTCCGACAGAAGTTCCTCGTTAGTCCACGTTCGAGAATTAACTGGGTCCGAGGTGTCTTCTCCACAACCCTTTTTATACTCAAAAATGGGTAGAAAACGAGTGGTGGTGGAGACGGCGGGAACGAATCAACGCGACGTTTTCTTCTAACGAATTTTCATCGCGTTGCTCCGAAGACGTTAGATGTTCTCGAGCGAAGCCTAATAAGGAAACTCTGGTAACTGGGAAAGCTAGGCAAGACTAGACTCTTGCTTTGCGGTGGTCTTCGACTATTCTCGAATATTCATCTCCAAGGAATAAAAATCATCGGCGTACGTAACAGGCGTACGTAACAAATTCTATTTTTCACTTTTGGTAAAACAATTTACAATTTTACAATTTGTAACATTTATACATACAAAACTTTATTCCAACTTTGTGATTGGTACACCAGTTTTTTCTAACAAGGGATATCACCCAATTTATACACGCCGAATTTGATGAAATTTTTATACGTTATAGAATTCGAAAAAAATATTTGACACGTATTTTTTTTTATCGGCAAACATCCACTCTGAAGTGGTGAAAATAACCCTTAAAGTTGGGGTTGAAAAAACTATCTTCGCAAAATATCTCGGGAACTATTAGGCCTACATAAAAAATTCAAAATGCAAATTTTTCTGTTTTAAAAGGCCAATAATATATAATAATTTGGAATATACACTGTTCAAAAGAAATATGGCATAGAAAAATTTTAGGCAAAAGTTGGTCAAATTTGACTGATGATAACTCCGTGAAAAATCATTGCAAATTTATGTTCTTTTTTTTAAATTAAAGCTTGAGATCTCTACTTTAAGACCCTGTAGTTTGATTTTAAATTTAATGCATCCCTACCACAATGACACCGTAAATGTGAGGTCATGGTTGCAATAGACACTGTAAACGTGAGGTCATGTTTGCAATATCAAAAATTACAAAGTTTGACGAAATGCATGGACTTGCCACATTTTTCTTTGGTGATACTGTTTACAGCAGCATAAAGTCCAAACCTTCATCTTTAAGTTCCAGTATGTGACCAACGGCTTGATTCTTCGGACATTACAATTGGCGACGAGGATCGACGAAATAAGGACCTGGTGTGCAAGTGACGCAATCGAATAAAAACGCGTAAAATATACGCACAAGCGTATTATCGTGCAGAACGCCACGGTTGTCACTCGGGAAGGCGAGTCGCGAGCCGCATTTCGTTCCACGTGCGCAATTAAACATTATATTTACATAATAAATTAGTAGGTCCAACCGATCAAAAAGCTAATACGCTGTAGTAAGGTGCAGTGAAATTAAATAATTAAATATATGTCTGAACAAAAAGGACTATCGTGGGTTCAGCAGCTTAATAAGAAACAAATTAAAGAAGAACTAATTAAAAGGTGCATTCGTTGAAACCGACAAATTTGAAAATTTACGCGAGTTACTGAGAGAAACAGTGAGAAAAGAAATAGCTGAAGAAAAAGCTAATACAAGTAATATAAATAATAAGCCGATCGACGAAGGGAAGGTCGACCTGAACAAAAGTACGTCCAGCAAGGCGGTTTACAGTCAAGCCGAAAACGAAGCAGAAAGTGACCCGGAGGACAACATGGCAAACGAAGGTATCAGGCTAGAATTTTGTTTACATAAAGACAACTGGGAGAATTTCGTGGAACGGTTAGAACTATACTTCATAGCTAAAGACATTAAAGCCGAAAAACAAGCCGCACATTTGTTGACACGTTTAGATGAAGAAGCGTTTGGTCTAATGAAGCAGTTAGTGCAACCAGACAGATTAAATTCTAAAACATTCGATGATCTGGTAAAAACAATGACTGAACATTTAAATCCAAGGCCATCGGAAATAATGGAGAGATGTAAATTTAATGTGGCTAAACAGGAACCGAGTGAATCAGTGGCTGAGTTTGCAGCAAGGTTAAAAAGGTTATCGTCACAGTGCAATTTTAGTGATATAAGAGTGGCACTCCGTGATCAATTTGTGAGTGGATTAAGAAATCACGATACTAAGGCAGCGCTGTTTCGAATAGACAAATTGGACTATGAAACGGCATTTAAAGAGGCCGTATCTCGGGAAGCTGCCGAGAAAAATGCAACGGATACATTAAAAGTACTGGAAAATAAAAGCGGCAAAAGTGAAATATACGCGTTTCGAAATTCTCGCAAGCCGAAAAATTGGAGCAACAGGAAAGGCAATTCAAAATTACCGGAAGCCAGTTCAAAACAACAACATGCCAAGCAGCCAGGGGATTCGAAGAATGTTGTGTGTTATTGCTGTGGGAAGCCAAATCACACGAATAGGCAGTGTAGATATCGAGACTGCATATGCCGCGGCTGCGGAAGAAAAGGTCATATATGTAGAGCGAGCGTGCCGAAAGGGGACCGTTGCCGGATTATCTCAAAACCAGCGCGACGTCAAGCCAATGCGAGAGGAGAACAAGACATCACTGGTTCCAGAATCGACTACACATCGCAACGCGTTCTACACATCAAATCGAGCGATAAGTATGAGAGTTTGGGGAGTGCGACGGAGAAGGAGAAATAACTTGTAACGTAAATGTGCGCGGAATTCAAAAATACTTTTATTATGTCAGTCGCGGGTGTACGCTCGCGTGTCTAACTGGTACAAGTCAGTCTCGACTCGCGGGCGCGTCCTTTTATATTTACGGGTGTCGAACGTTCGAGACGATTTTTCGAATTCGCCGGTTGGAGTGTCGGCACCGACGCGTGCCGTTGTTGTTAGTCGGAGGTCGACAGAACGCGCGGTGTCCCAACCGTCGGCGATCACCTCCAACCGTTTTTCGCGGGCGATAAACATCTATCATCACGTTCGCGTTCCGCGCTGCTCGTATGCATCGGTTATTATTTGAACGTATGAAATTGAATGCCCGCTAAGTCCGCTACAAGTAGAAGATTGTTAGCTGGAAAATTCAAAATTTTCATCTCTTTTATCTGTGAAAGCTGATAGAAAATTTATCCAGCCATTTACAAATTTAAAATGGAAATTATTTCGTTTGATCCATTAAGACAAATAAAATTAACTTTCTATTTCAGAAAAAATAAGCGTTCTCTTTAATCAAGTATTAAGCTCTGATAGTCGGATTTGATCGTAAATCGACTTGCTTCGGATGCAGCGAAGGTCGAAAACTTCTTTTCGCGTTAGGGAAGCTCGATAGGGCGCGTTGCGACGTTCGGTAAAGCAAAGTAAATAATGATTAGGGCGATTTGTATTTTTACGTCTTTGTACGGTCCGTCATAGGGAGGCTGTAGTGGACCTCTAACCGCGTCGTGGCGCAAAAATATATATGGGGACGTTGCGAGTTCTTTGAAAACGAAAACTTTTTTGCTGCCATGTCGCACGACTGGTTCTGGTTTCACTCTATTTACGCGCTCCTTTAAACGAGTAACGAACTGCGAATTCGCGTCTTGACCGCTAGGTAAGAAAAATTCTGCGGGTAGTCGAATACTTGTGCCGTATACTAATTCCGCGGCGGTCGTTCCCAAATCCTCTTTCAACGCGGTGCGGATACCTAAAAGGACGATGGGCAAAATTTCCACCCAGTTGCTACTATCGTGGCATTTTATCGCTGCCTTTAATTGCCGATGAAAGCGCTCCACCAATCCGTTCGCTTCGGGATGGTAGGCGGTTGTACGCAAATGTTGTATTCCTAACAGTTTGCAAAGACAATTAAATAACTGGGATTCGAATTGTCGTCCCTGATCGGAAGTGATGCGAAGAGGAACGCCGAAACGAGCGATCCAGGTTGTTAAGAAAGCTGTCGCGACGGTAGACGCTTCCATATCGTTAATAGGAATGACCTCTGGCCAGCGAGAGAACCGATCTATACACGTTAGACAATATCGGAAGCCCTGCGAATATTGCATGTTAATAATGTCGATGTGAACGTGTTCGAAACGACCGGCTAATCCGAACTCTCTGACGGGCGATGACACGTGTTTGCCGACTTTGCATCTTTGACACGCTATACACTGTCGCGTCCAAGTTCGACAGTCCTTATTTATCGACGGCCATACGAACCGTGATGTTATTAATTTTTGCGTCGCGCGTATACCAGGGTGAGATAAACCGTGTAGGCTATTGAATACGGTATGCCGCAAGGATTTCGGTACATACGGTCGGACTGCATCGTTCGTTACGTCACAAAAAATATTCGCGTTTTGCTCGGGAAAATGGATTTTTCGTAGCTTTAATTTCAATGAGTTCGACCGTAGGATATCCTGCAATTCGCTGTCTTCCTCTTGCGCGGATGCAAGAGCTCGATGATCGACGGATTGAGCGATTGCCTCGACCCGAGATAACGCGTCGGCTACGTTATCCAAACCCTTAACGTGTCGAATATCTGTTGTGAACTGCCCGATATAGTCTAGATGTCTAAACTGACGCGGCGAGCATTTTTCCGTATAAACTGACGCGGCGAGCACTTTTCCGTATTCTGATTAAACGCGTAAGTCAGAGGCTTGTGATCGGTAAAAATGACGAAATTTCTCCCCTCTACGGCGTATCTAAAACGCTTGACCGCGCGATACATCGCTAACAATTCGCGGTCGT